GGCTATTTTTTGGTCACAGCCGTCATTGTTCTTTGGCGTCCTGGGCTGGATTCATAGGCACCACCTTTGGTGTACGTGGCTGGTACCTTAGTCACTTGAGCCACAGGCACCCTGCCAGATCTTGCCATGTTTTGAGGCTGATCTCCAACTCCTGGCCTCCCCCTGCTGCAGCCTCTAAAATTGCTGTGATTATAAGGTGTGAGCCATCATTGTTTTTTTTCCTTAGCACTTCTCACCACCTAAAACATATAATAAATAGAACTTTTTTTTTTTTTTTTTGAGACTCACAGAGTCTCACTTGGTCACCCTTGCTAGAGTGCTATAGCATCTTAGCTCACAGCAACCTCAAACTCTTGGGTTCAAGTGATTCTCTTGCCTCAGCCTTCCAGGTAGCTGGGACTATAGGAACCTGCCACAGCGCCTGGCTATTTGGGTATTTTTAGAGGCAGGGTCTCCATCTTGCTCAGGCTGGTCTCAAACCTGTGAACTCAGGCAATCCACCCACCTCAGCCTTCCAGAGTACTAGGATTAGAGGTGTGAGCCACCGTGCCCCGCTGCCTTTCAAATTTTATTTCTTAGTATTTTTATTCTCTTCTGGATTTTAGTATTACAAACATAATACTAACAGAAAAAAGTAAAAAGAGCTTACTGGTCAGGTGTGGTGGCTCACGCCTGTTTTCCCAGAGCTGTGGGAGGCTGAGGCAGGTAGATTGCCTGAGCTCAGCTGAGTTTGAGACCAGCAGAAGACCAGCATGAGCTGGAGTGAGCCAGAGTAAGACCCCGTCTCTAAAAAAAAAAAAAAATAGAAAAAAGCCAGACATTGTGGCGGGCGCCTGTAATCCCAGCTACTTGGGAGGCAAAGGCAAGAGAATCGCTAAAGGAAGAAAGAAAAAAAATATTTAAAAAAAACCCCACAAAATAAGTGAAAGCCAGCTAAAATTGAAAGCAAAAAAAAAAAAAAATTCTAAAAAAAAAGAGCTCATTTAAAATGTGAACCACTAAGTATAAGTCTATTTTTTTTTTAAAGAGACAGGGTCTTACTTTATCACCCTTAGTAGAGTGCAGTGACATCACAGCTCAAAGCAACCTTGTGCCTGGGCAATTCTCGTGCCTCAGCCTCCCAAGTAGCTGTGACTACAGGTGCCCACCACAACTCCCAGCTATTTTTTGTTGTTGTTGTTGCAGTTTGGCTGGAGCCGGGTTTGAACTTGCCTTCCTGGGTTCATATGGGGCCAGCATATGAGCTCACTGAGCCACAGGCACAGCCCATAACAAGCCTATCTTTATGATCCAAATAGGTAAATATTTTCTGATTTTGAGCTATTAGGAGTTAGGCTAAGCACTAAAGAAGAGAAAAAGAATGAAACATTATCATTCTAAGACTTTTTTCTTTTGGAAACAGTTTTTGAAACTGTCTTACAGCTTGAATACCCTCTTTAGGTTGGATTTAATTTCTAGCAACAGCCAAAGTCACCCAGCTGGAGCTAGTACATCAAGCTAGATATATGGTTTAGTTTAAAATGAAGTGTGTGACTCTATAGTAAAATGACATATTTTATTTTTTTTATTTTTGACAGAGCCTCAAGCTATCCCCCTGGGTAGAGTG